GGAGCAACAAACAGCAGCAGCAGTGTGTCTGTGGCCAGGAACCCAGCAGAGAGAGAGGGGAAGAGAGCAAGAGAGAGAGGCGTGTCTTCTCTCCCCCTTTATAGACCCCAGCAGGAAGTCCCGAAGACAGGAAGAGGGGAGTGGGAATAGAAGAGGTCTCTGCCCCTTCCATTCAGGCTTGCTCCTGGTTTTAGGTTTCAGATCTCCACCCACCAGGAGCAGCAGGTTTCAAACCATTACAGCCCTGCTGACAAACCCTCAAGTGTTAGGTCTGTGTTTCATAGCTAGCTTTCTCAAACATGCTCACTGATCTGCACTGCTTGGGTGCAAGAAGGTGTCTGACTATCAGGTCAACCATCTGTCTGTAAAATTCCTCAGTTTGTGGCATCTGTTTGACATAATGACAAATGAGAGAAAGGGTTTAGGGATAATGCTGGATGACATGAAAATCTCCTTGTAGAAGGAAGAAGTCACCTTGTAGAAGGAAAAAGGGAATGATGGGTTCCCCGGTCTCTACCAAGCGGTTGCAGCTGTATTATGGTTGTTCTGCAGTATGGAAGACATGACCCATTGCACTGAGAGTGATGTAGAAGTAAATCACAGAGCTGGTGTGGCTAGAGAATGAGCCAGGTCATGAATCTGTAGCTAGCCAAGGCAGCTCCCATGTGACTTCTTCACCCTCAAGAATGCTGAATTCGTGAGAGCTGGGTTAGCCTGTGTTACCAACCTTCCCCAGTCTGTTGTCTGGATGTGGAAGGACTGTACTGGCAGGAATTAAAACAGACCTTCAGATGAATTTCTTCTGAGTTGAGGTGAGGAGGAGAAAGGTTCAAGGTGGGCAAGAAGACTTTATGTCAATGCTGGTGAGGGCTCAGGACACTCCCTGTGCTGAACTGGAACAAACTTCCTTCTCCACCACAGTCCAGTATGGTCCATTTAAGCCAAAATCTCACTGACGTAGTGACTTCTGTTTTCTTGCAGTCAGAGTCATACCAGGAAGACATCTACCCCTTGACCACAGGAGCCCAGCCAGCGCTGACAGCACAAGAGTGGCTGAACGGAGTTAACAAAGGTCAGCACACGGAGAGCTCCCCAGCCCCTCAGCTCCCAGGGCTTGGGTAAGCTGCTGCTTGCTCTCTGGCCTGTTGACTGCCAGAGAAAGAGGAAGGGAGGAGAAGGAGAGACATGACAAACATGGCTGTAAGCTAAAATAATTTGGTGGCTAAAATTTTCCCCGCTGTGAACTCTGGCAGCACTCCAGTCAAGTGCCTCTGTGTTTATCCCTGCAGGTTGCTTGAATGAATTGCTTACAGCTGATTTCTGAGTGTGGTTTGTGAGTGCTAACCTGTCACCTGCCTCCCTCTCTAGGACCTCTTTTGGTATCCTTGAGACCGGGCTCGGGACCTGCGGATTCCTTACCAGAGTTTCTTGAGCCAGAACCTCTCTTGAAAACTACTGACTTGAGCCAGCGTCAGGGTCAGGGAGGAAGGATGCCACTGGAAGACATGCAGAAGCCAAGTGCAATTGAAGACAGCAGGAAACAGCTGAAAGTGGAGGAGAAAGCGACGAAAAATGAGCAAATGCGCCTCTCCAATGGCTTTGACATATTTGAGTGTCCACCACCAAAAACTGAAAATGAGGTGTGAATGTCTGGGGTGAAAGGTTGGGGCTGTTGGGGTAACCCAGAGTCTTCTGGCAAAGGGATGCTACAAAGTGACAGAATCTGAGGAGGGTTTATTTTGCAAACCTGGGCTGGTCTGAGCTCTTCATTCTTTGTGGAGACAGAAGTTCTGCATGCCCAGTCAGCCACATGGGAAGCAACAATGTTGCCCAGCATCTCCCCAGCTGAGGGTGTCTGGAAAGGAGGGAGAAAACAGTATTCCTGCTTCTTGTGGCACAGCTCAGCAGGGTGGCTGGCTGGGGACAAGGAGGTCCTTGTCACCTCTAGGTTCTGAAGAGGAGAAGGGGTTTTATGCTGCATAACCCTTCTATGAGAGCTGGACTCAGAGAGCCTGGTGAGGCAGCAGGGAAACCTGTGGAAGGAGTTTGTGTACCTTCCTCCCTTGGCCCATGGCAAATCCATGTAGTCTTAAGCACCTAACTGTATTGTGGACCCTGATATGGGAGAGAGGCTCTGCCCTTGCCTCCATCAACAGCTCGCTGCTGGGGGACAACTTGGCAGTGTAGTGTCACTGAGGACAGCTGCTGATCATAGCTGGATCCTCCTGGGAATGGCTCCAGAAAAAGTCTTGGCAGCTCCACAATTTGTCTTCAGCCATTTCCAACCCTTTCCCTGTACAGGAACCAAAGCTGGTACAGTGGTAGATCTCTGGTGATTTGCAAGCTTCCCATCCTTGTGCAGCTCAGGGATATTTTCAAGTATGTGCAGCTTGTTTGCTTCTAGGAACCCTGGAAGGATTTCCTTCCCATAGCCATGTTCAGGTCCCCTTTTCAATTCTGAACAGATTTAGCATTTGCAGCTTGGTGGGCAGGACCACAGCTCAATTTCCCTGGAGTGTGAGTAAGGACATTTCTGTGCATATTGCTGAGCTGCCCCAAGGTTGCAGAAGCAGCCCTTGCAGAGCTGGGTGCTCTGCTGCATGCACAGTGGAAGGTCACGCTAGTTGCAGCTGTAGAGGGCAGAGCATGATCAACAGGAAAAAAGTAAAAGGACTTGCCCAAGGGCGGAGTAGGAGATGTGGCCAAATGCTGTGTCTAGGCTCTCTTTGAGTGATCAGTAGTATGAAGGTTATTTTTTTCTGGTCTTTAGCATTAAATTAAGCAGAGGTAACATTACTAAATGGTGCAGAGAAGCATTTGCACTCATAGCCCAGGCTAGTGGACAGCAGGAGCACAGCTGATGTTCAGTCTGTTGTTTGATGGCCTCCTTCTTAGGTGCTGCTCCTCTCAGAAGTAATGTGACAGGACTTTGGCATTTGAAAGTGTAGGTCTGCATTTTTCTTAGTGTAAAGGAAATAAAACATGACTTTTCTTACAGCTTTTGCAGATGTTTTACCGTCAACAGGAAGAAATTCGTAGACTACGTGAGCTGGTTAACCAGAGAGATGTCCAAATTAAACAGCTGGAGCTGGAGCTCAGAAACCTCTGCACGGACACAAGCAGTTACTGAGGGTGCTGGTCTGCAGCTCTTTGCACCCCATGGCAACTGGAGCAGCCCCCAGCTCCCGTCGATAACTCCTCCTAGGGTTTTTGCTGGGGGAAAAACTGATGCTGCAGACAGCATGAACTTCCCCAGCTTGTGGTGGCCACAGTTCCTTAATCATCACCAGACAGTTATTGACGGACATGCTGCAATTCTTCAGGCTCCTCTTGCTTGCCTGCTCACTCATCTCAGAAGCTCATGCATTAATGCTAGTGAGAGACTTTGGAAACTCTTGCTCTTCTGTGCCTAGAGAAACCACCTATTAAGCTCTAGGAACAACTCATTTTGCCGCCCTCCACATGACATGAGGATGGGAGACTGAACGCAGCTGCCAGCTTCTTTTCTCATCCCCGGACCCTGCAGTGCGACTCATGTGGCAGCTGTTCTCCTGCCCTGGGAGACCACTCTGCAGCCGAGCTTCAGAGGCACCTCTAGCTCCAGAATGATCCTCATGCACCCCGCCTTGCCTCACGGCTCAACCCTGCAGCTGGGTTGCCAGGCAAAGCCGTGGCTGCCCTGACCTGGTGCTGGGGATAGTCCTGCTCCGAGCGGGAGGATGCACTGGGGATGTCCAGGGCCAGCACTTTTCTGATAGGTAAAGGAGAGTTGGTGATGGGTGGTCCTACTTTAGAGGGGTGATGGAGTGGGCTGGTTCTCACCAGGGGAGCCGTAGGTGCAGCAGAGGTCTCTGGGTCCTTTGCGTCAGTGGCCTTCTTTCTCTTCTGCCAAAGACCAGCCGCAGTAAACTGGGGGTTGTTGTCCTGTGGTGCTCATCAGACAAATGAGGACAACTTTTAAAGCTGCAGAGCATTGGCAGCAGGGGGGGTTTGCCAAGAGAGATTAAAAGGTTGAGGGGGCAGTTGGACCCCCAGCTCACTGCAGATCTTTCAGCAATGGTGCTAGAAGCACGGTGTTAACTGCAGGAGGATCACAGAATGGTGGCTGGTCACAAAGAGCCCTCTCTGCTTGTGGGGGTATTGCTTGTCCTTGTGCCTGCAGCTGCTACTTCCTTAGCTCTGGGGTGCCAGCACCGTGTCACATGCCTTCAGCCACCTACTGCCACAGGGTCGCTGCTCCCAGCTGTTGCCTCCCTGGTTTATCCCTGCATCCTCCAGGGCTGCCCTCTCTCCAGAAGCCCTGGAGCCACGCTCATCCGTGCCCTTCAGCACCAGCTCACTGCCTTGCCCAGACCTGTGCTTATGGCAAAAGCAGCTGCAAGATGCAGATACCCTCTTTGGTTTCAGAGCTGGCACCTGTGACCAGCTTTGTGCCATCTGCCCACAATGTGCAGAGCTGGGCCAGCATTGGTACCAAGAGAGTGCACAGAGCTGCTGCCTTGTTGGGGCCTGGGGGTCTCTCTTTTGTTCCAGGGGTGTGGGGTGAAAGAATGCAGTCAGTTGCCGTTGGGTGTGAGCACAGCAGCAGCACTGGATTGGAAATGTTTTTCCTTGCCCCAAATCCAGAGCTTATTGAGATATCTTAAACCCAAGCAGAGTGGGCAACTGTTCTTCAACCTGCAACTGCACTTCTTGTGACACGTGTAGGAATGCATACTGTGCCCTGCTACTTCCCTGAAGCCTAATGGTTTCCCAGAGTCTAAAATAAATAAATAAATAAAAAGTCTCCTTAGCCAGAAATTCCCACAAACAGGATTCCTTAGCAAGGGGACTAACGGCTGTGCACTGCCTGTGCTCAATGGGAGTTGCCCCTCTGGTTATCCCTGAAACAATGGTCAGCAGGGAGCTCCTGGGCACACAATACTCTTCTATAAGAATTACACAAAATCTCTGTCATCCCGTTTGGTCTGCTGCAAAGACTTCCTCCAGCCTTCAAAAATATTCAATTCATTTCTAAATAGCAGCAACAGATGTGGGTGCTAAACCCCACAAATATTGTTTCTTTCTGCAGCATTACAGAGAGGGGGCAGTTGTTCATATTCTCCAGGAAGAGTCCTTTAGCATCAGACACTTACTTCACATTACTCTTTTTGTAAAAAATAATATATTAATAACAAAGTTGTTGGAACAAACTGCAGCTCATTTCAGATCTTCTAGGATGGACTTTCCTATGCCTTGGGAACACACTGCAAAAGCAACTCACCCCGGATACAGAGCTTTAATCCAAACACATGAATCTTACACCAGAAGTGGTCAGGCTTTCTCACCAAAGAGAAGAGTTATGTAAGAAATCCAGAAGCTCACAGTTTTTCAGCCATGTCAAACAGGCCTGACATCTTCAAACTTCAAAGCCATTTTCACAGAGGGTAGCCCCGGGCATGTGCCACTGTTTTTCAAGCTATCACTATTAGAAAGGAGAGTACTTGACACCGCCCCAGCAGTCCAGGGGATACAACACTTTCTTTATCACCATATGTGTTTTATTTACTGGATTTTTTTTTTCTTATTTTACGTACAAAATAAATTATTTAAATTATTTCCAAGTGAAAGTAATTTTCCCAGGGGATTTAAAAATCCTCTTGAGGATGGTTTCTTTGTTATCCTATGACTGACTAGCATAGAAATTGGATGGCCACAACGGTTTTTATCTTAGGGTAGTGTTGATTTCAGCAATTCTGGAAATGAAGTTGCTTTCATGTAGGCTTTGCTGGCAACATTTGATAAGGCGAGACTATTTAATCAAAACTTCTTTTTAGACAGTATGCCCGTAAAAGCATAGACTGTGAAATGTATTTCAATTTGGAGCTTAAATGCAACCATAAATCTTTCATGCAGAGAAAAAAAGTGGATAAAATGGAGTTATGCATTAATAAACTGTGCCTAAATAGACCTAAGTGATCATTTTAACAGTTTCTAAAACTCCTAACAGCTTTGTAAAAAACTGTAAAACATGGGGATAAAAACCAAATTTGTGCAATGGAACGCAAATGTAACTGAATAATAAATACATTTAGAGTTTTACTTTTTGATACATGCAAGGTTGTTGGTTTCTTATTGCCATTGTATTGCTGAAGCGACAGAAAATGCTGTCTCTTCTGCTTGCACGAAGTTGTGGCCTTACGTTTGTAGGCAGGCTGTACAGGTTTATGCATGTGGGCCTGTCTTACTTCTTTCCCACCTGCCCTTGATGCTACAAAGGGGTGGCCACTTCAAACTGTTCTGTGTTTCACCCTGTTCATGTTGTCTCACGTAAACCAAGCTCCCATGGAGATGCACACAGCATGGTGAGGTGTTTCCTGACCATGCTGCCTTGCAGTCCTGGTGCTTCTCTTTTCCAATGTGCTCTGACCAGGCTCTTGTAGATATTCCACGTGAGGACAGTTCAATGTGTTAATATCAGATATACTTACTCGAAGACATAATAGATGGGATTTTGATGTAGCTGAGAGAAGCAGCAGTCACAATACAAGCACAATACAGCAGTTGCAACATCCAATTGGATCATGATACAAATGGAATTCCCATTACAGGTCTCTATATGCTCACCCTGATGACACTGGGTATCTCCAATTGCTGAAATACGTGAGTTGAAGTGACCTCAAGACTGTAGCTCTCTTCACAGTTAATTTTGTTGGTTACCCAGTTTTTATGTTTTATGTTGGACTGAGCCCCATGCTGGTCTGGCTGGCTCAGTAAGACATTCACACCTACTGATTAACTCCCAACCACCTACACAACCAGCTGATCAATCAACTGATACGGTAGCTACCTAGAACAAAAACCACTCTTTGGTCCCATTTCCACTGAGTTAAGTTCACCTTTATTTACAATAGCTGTTGTAGCACTTCCCTGATCATCATGAGTGCATCGCCTGTGCCCATCTCCTCTGAGCCTCCTGCCACTGTAGAGGTTTATCAGCCACAACTTTGGGCTGCATTCAGGATGTAACTTTTGTTTAATAAAACATAGTTTAGGCCAGGGGGGGAAAAGAAAAAAAAAGATGGGAAGTGTAGGAGAAAGTTGGTGCTAGGATCTCTATGCAGCAGCTATACAATCAGGGCACTGTGTCCTCTTGACCTCCTTGTCTCAGGGAGAGAGATATGAAATATTTGTGCAGGGGAGGGTGGCCAGGCAGACACCGCCCTGGGACCCATCCCAGGGCACTGTGTTTCTCCTCTGGTGCTGACACAGACTCGCTGCTCAGAGCAAAGCCTAAGCAAAGGCAGCAGCAGGCAGGTTGGCGTGGAAGGCGAAGGAATAACCTGCGGCACATTTGCTGTCCTGTGAT